GGTGACACGGCCGGGGGCTGCCGTGTGACTCGCGGGCAGCTGCACGGGCGCACGTGCCCTCGCGCACACACACACACACACGCACACACACACACCCCCCCTGCAAGAGGCGCCGCTGCACGTGGCCACGCCGGCAGCCACCAGCACCCGCGTGCACGGATGCGCGCGGATGCTCATACATGCAAACACGCACACGCGTGTACGGATGTGCACACATCGCTGCACGTGGTGTAATCACACCCACGTATGTAATCCCACCGCACATCGCATCTAGGCGTACGTATGCAACTACGTACACGCACATGTGTGCAGTCACACCCGCGTGCAAACACGCGCCTGGAGCTCTGTGTGTATACAGATGTGCGCGCACACGCACACAGATGTGCGCGCGCACACACAGATGTGCACACATGCACCCCTTCACACACCGCTGCACATCTGCGCACATATGCACAGACAAATGTGCATAAATGCACATGCAAACCCTCCTCTGCACGCACACACATATGTGCATGGCACACGTATGCAGTCCTACAGGCATGGAGCTCTATAAGTGTGCACGCACACACAGATGTGCACACCAGACCTGGTCACACACCGCTGCACATGCAAACATATGCATGGATGAACATGTGCACATACAAACCCACCTCTGCGGGCGTACACGTGTGCCCGTGCACACACGTGTGCAGTCACACATGCCAACAGACACACAGTTGCATGTGGAGCTTTGTAAGTGTGCACACACAGAGATGTGCACACATGTACCTATTCACACACCACCGCACATGCACACACATGCATGAACGCGTGCTTAAATGCACATGCGAACTCCCTCTGCACATATACATACACATATGTACATGCAGACACATGTATGCAGTCCTACACGCATGCAGACGTGCGCATGGAGCTCTACAAGTGTGCACGCACACACAAGATGTGCACACCACACCTGTTCACACACCACTGCACACACAAACATGCGTGGATGAACGTGTGCACATACAAACCCACCTCTGCACGCACAGACGTGTGCACGTGCGCATATGTACATGCACACACGTGTGCAGTCACACATGCCAACAGACACACACTTGTATATGGCACTTTTAAGTGTGCACACACAGAGATGTGCACACATGTACCTATTCACACACCACCGCACATGCACACACATGCATGAACGCGTGCTTAAATGCACATGCACCCCTCCCTGCACATATACATACACGTATGTACATGCAGACACATGTATGCAGTCCTACACGCATGCAGATGTGCACATGGAGCTCTGTAAGTGTGCACACCACACCTGTTCACACACCACTGCACACACAAACATGCGTGGATGAACGTGTGCACATACAAACCCACCTCTGCACGCACAGACGTGTGCACGTGCGCATATGTACACGCACACACACGTATGCCATCACACACACATGCAAACACACCCGCACTTGCATGTGGAGCTCTGTAAGTGTGCACACACACGCGCACACACGCAGAGACACGCACCTGACACCCGTTTGGACACTGCTGCACATGTGTGCACACACGTGCACAACGAACGCGCGCACATGCAACCCCCCCGCCCCGCACACACACGATGCACATACACACGTTTACAGCATGACGTGCACGCAGACATACCACACGCATATGGAGCGCTGCAAGTGTGCATACACACGCATGTGCACACATAGACGTGCACACGTGTCGTTCGCACACCACCGCACGTGCACATACACCTGAACATTTGCATAAATGCACATGGAAACCCCTCTCTGCACATATACATGTGTGCACACACACCTATGTACGTGCACACGCGTGTCTACAGTCACACACGCATGCAAACACACGTGTGTGGAGCTTTATAAGTGTGCACACATGCGCCCATGCACACGCACACATGAACACATGCATAAATGCAACCTCTGCACATATACATGTGTGCACACACACCTATGTACGTGCACACGCGTGTCTACAGTCACACACGCATGCGAACACACGTGTGTGGAGCTTTATAAGCGTGCACACATGCGCCCGTGCACACACACGCGCACACACAGATGAATACATGCCGAAATGCACCCCGCCGCATGCACACGTAGGTACGTGCACACACGTGTACGCAGTCCCACACGCACGCAGACGTGCCCGTGGAGCTCTGTAAGTGTGCACACCACACTTGCTCACGCACCGCTGCGCATCCACGCACGGATGAACACGGGCGCGTGCAAGCCCACCTCTGCGCGCGTACACAGGCACACGCGCACAAACGTATATAGTCACGTGCGCGTGCAAACACACCCACACTTGCACACGGAGCTCTGTAAGCGTGTACGCACATGTATGTGCACACACGTGTGCACCCTCCCAGGCAACCCGCCCACCCAGCGCTGGCTGCAGCACCCATGGGTGCCCACCAGGGGCCATCCCGGACACGTTGTCCCCTCCAGTTCCCCTCGCCCCGGGCTGTCCCCAGCCATTTGGGGCCACCTTGACCCTGCTGAGCCAGTGGCCCAATCCTGCAGGACCTCAGCATCCTTATGGGGGGGGGGGGCCTGGACCAGCTGCCTGGGGACATCTGGGGGTGTAGGGACAACCTGGGTGGCTGCCATCAGCAGGAGAAGTTGTCCCCTCCAACTTTGGATATCCCTGGGTAGTGACAGCCACCACGGACGTTGGCCCAGGGAGTGCCACCAAGTGGTTCCTGCCACCTTGGGTGGTGCAGAGAGCCCAATTCAGCCTCACCCAGAGACGTGGTCCATCCCTTGTCCTCCACAGCTGGCACCTGGCCTGGGGGCTGCCTCGGGGGGACGGCGACCCCCACAATGATCCCATGGGAAGGATGGAGGACATTGGAGGCCACGTGAAAGCCAGTCCCACTTGGTGCCATCAAGCGCTGGAGGTGGCAGCTTGGCTTCTGCTCCTGCCACCAAGGTGTCCACTGGCAGCATGGCAAATCCAACGTCTTGCCCAGCTGGTGAGAAGGATTCCCCGTCCCCAAGGTCCAGTGGTGGCCTGATGGAGAGCATCTCCAGGAGCCGCGACGCTGGAGCACGGCTCCATTGGAGGCACCATGCAAGAGAGGACGTCACGCAGCCAGGTGCCATTCCATGGGCACCTTCTGGGTTTGTTGAACCTCTCCAGGAACGTCACGAGCTCTTGATTTCCCTCCACCACCAGGGGCCAGCGCTCAACACCACAGGTTAATGAGAGTCTCTGGATCACGGGACAACTCCCACCTTACCAACAACCCAACTGGAGCATGGGTTGCTCTGGCCAAAGCTGGTTTCCCGCATCTACATCTCCTCTATCCAAAGTCTCAATCAGCCCAGGAGAACGCGGCGGTGATGCTCCGCTCACCGTGAAGGTCCAACATTCCGCTTCCCATAGGAGCTGTTTCTATAGGATGACGTTGGCTTGGCCATGCCACGGTCAAGTGGGACGACCCACCCAAGGTTGGGTTGGAGACCTTCAAGCTCCACCACCATCCTACAAATGGGTTTATGGTTGGGCCCGTTCACTTCTTCACCACATCACCGCGCCAAAAAAAAAAAAAAAAAAAACCACCAAACCCTCTCGGGCTCTTTTATTTATTTTTTTTTTTTTTGGAAACATTTTAATAGTTATCGAATGTTCTACATCTTACAGTAAATATCATACAGTTACAAACTCTTGGCTGAAATCTGTCAGGGAAATCACGACCTGATCTTCAGAACCAAAACCAGAACAGAAACCAAAACGGGAATAAAAAAAAAAAAAAAAAAACCAAAAAAAACCCCAAAAAACCAACCCCAAATTTACACTTCAGCTGGACAAACCGAGGC